TAGTTTCGTTGAACTATCTCAATACAGGCGAAAAGTGAGAAATAATCAGTTTAAATTATACATTATCTTAGAAGATTATTCTCAGTTGTTTATTAACATTCTTTTTGTCTGATGTACATCAACGTTTTAGAGATTTTTCTAAATATTTGAGGTTCTTTGATGATAATTAAAGTCTATATGCACATAATAAGTCAGATATCAATCATTATTCGAATACTAAGTCATATATGAACATATACGGAAATCCTTTTTTTGAAAATAATGATTAGGTGTTTGAGAACAAGTGTCTCAATTAATCATGATTAATGCACCAAGAAGCAGAGGAAGAATAATTTACTATGAGAACTAATGTACTCGAAAACAATAAGTCAACTAAGTGAGCCGCCTCAGTTATTGTTAATTAGTTTGTGGTTTAGCATTATTGAAAAATGATAATCTTTTGTGTATTTATTAAATGCTCTTGTCTTTAATAAAGATGAATTTCTGATGATGATAATAAAAGATATATTTTTCTTAAGAGTACTTTTAGAGAATAAAGTGCATCAATTATTCAATAGATGAAATAGAAACATTTTCAAAAAATCAAATTCCTGATTATTTCTTTAAAAATGAATACAAGTGAATTCGATCAATCAATGATAATAATTCAATCATGGTTTATTCCATTAGATATAATACATGTGATATGTTGTAGTTTATCCATAATACTTCCTGTTATATATTTGTTTATTATAATAATTGATAAAACATATGTAAGAATATCGATGATACATATTGTTAATTCATGTTTATCTGAACTTGGAGTTGGAAGTGTTATGTTTGATACTGCATTATTTTCATTAAAAAATGATCTTAAACAAATTCAAATTAAAGATTCATTTTGTAAATTTCGAGCTTATTTTGGTTATGTTTTCGTCACCATAGTTAATTGTTCATTTCTATTACAAGCTTTACTTAGATATACCACTGTTATTTATCCGACACATCTATTTTGAAAATCTAAATAAAATCAATTGAGATTTATTTGTTTAACATGGATATATGGTTTATTACATCCTTTAGTAGGTATATTACCTGAAAAAATAACATATAATGTATATAATCAAACATGTCAAGTACCTCTTCATCTTCATTTACAATTGATTTATTTATCACTTTGCATTTATCTTATTCCGAATTCAATGACTATATTTATTTATTTTAAATTAGTTCGATATGTTCGAAAGATGAATGAACATGTAACACCAATAAATATATTATATCGTGCAAAAAGATAATTAAAAATGATTCGACGTATAATTATATTTCTATCGATTCTTGTTATATTTGGTCTTCCTTATTCATTATTTATATTTATGGCATTTTTTACTAATATATACATACAGGCCTCGCAGAGCTCCTTCTTTCCTTCTTTTTTCCTTCTTTTTTTAGATAGTCCTTCTTCGTCCTTCTTTTCTCCTAAAATCCTTCTTTTCCTTCTTTTTTACTTTTCATACGAATAGGCTGTGAGAAACATCGAAAACATTGAATAGAAATACCTAGTTAGAATCCAACACTGATAGAGAGCTCTTAAATCTACAGAAAAGGTTTAATTTATCTCAAGTCCAATGAAAAGTTCGTCACACTTACGCTAACGTACGTATGTGGTTCTTGAATTTACGTGGCATCCACATGCAGAACTCGAGATACGTAAAATGACACTTCTCTGGAATTTGGTCGCTGCAAAACTTTCGGGCATATACTCACGAGGGAAGGTCCCCAACGGACGGACGCCGTTCGATTCCATATTATGGCTATAAGGTAGGTCTCTATGAGACTAAGAAAACCCTAAAAGGATTCGTGCCCATGGTCTATCTGTGAAGAGTTATGACCGTTTTACGGAATTTGGAGCATGCGACTAGGGATTTCCAAAAAATCGAATTAAAGAATTTCGACCTGAAAATTTGCCCATGGATAGGTCTAACAGTCATTAGAATCGGTTGAAAGTTTCAGCCAAAACGAATGTTCTTTTCTCGAGATATTGAATTATCAAGTAAACTCGGTTTTTGTGACCTGTCTGTGAAAACTGACTATTTTTTGACATTTCAATATCTCGAGAAAGGAACATTCATTTTGGCTGAAACTTTCAACCGATTCTAATGACTGTTAGACCTATCCATGGGCAAATTTTCAGGTCGAAATTCTTTAATTCGATTTTTTGGAAATCCCTAGTCGCATGCTCCAAATTCCGTAAAACGGTCATAACTCTTCACAGATAGACCATGGGCGCGAATCCTTTTAGGGTTTTTCTAGTCTCGTAGAGACCTACCTTTTAGTCATAAAATGGAATCGAACGGTGTCCGTCAGTTGGGCACTTTCCCTCGCCAGTAACAAAGTATAGCTGAAGCTGAGCTATATCATAACCATAGTCTTATAGATGCCTACGCGAATGGCCTTCCGTCGCGTATCGATGTTCGATCGAGATTGTCGGTCAGTAGAACAAAAGAGTCACAGTTTTTATTGGTGATGTTGTTGATGAAAAAAAGTAGAAAGGCAACCAACATTCAGTAGTACGCAGCAGTGTTGGTACTTGTGGACTAGAATGGAGGTGGTACGTGTAAGTTAATTTCAGTTCAACCCAAAATCAACGTTTAGCTTTCTACGCAATTTAAGTTGATCAATCAATGCCAAACATGAATTTGAACTTCTTCGCTTGAGCTTAGTTTTTAATATGCTTTTCAAATTTTTCGATCGAGTTCGGGTTTCAGAGGCGACTTTTGACTTTTCTGGTCGAAAAAAATCATAAATCACAATTGAACTCTATATCGATCGAAAACCTTGAAAAGTATCTGGAACAGTGTACATCGATCAAAGAACTGGAAATTTATCTAGTTAATACAATTCGATGGAGGATGTACAAATCACATAGGAGACCTATTCGGAACGAGAAACCCGAAAAAGCGTATCTGAATCGGAGATGTCATAAGGCATTTCAATCCAAGTGCGATATATCAAAAATATCGGATGACGGAAAATATCTTTTTACAAGTTTAACGATGATTCCTAGTTGAATTTAGCTTTCAACGCTAAAAGTGAAGTTAACCAGTCAACTTAACTTCAAATCACCTTCAACTCGCCGTATCTAGGCGAGAACGATGTGTTTAGACTAGTCCTTTCTCCCGCTCCCGCTATGTGTAAAAGTGGCAGATAGAAGTAGCCACTATGCATTGAGTTATCTATTTTACAAGGACAAAGCGAGGATGCTGCTGCCTATCTCTGATGCTTTATCAACGGATAGGTTCGATCATACACGAATTTTCGTGATCGCTACACGGCATAGCAATACATGCAAGCGAGGGTTAGAGCCTATTGGGTTCAAGAACTCCCGAAACCCAGACATGACCAATTAAACTTTTTTGGGCTGGGATCCAGATCAAGACGCAGATGATCAAAATTGTTGGACCCGGACCCGATTGATCATTCTTTTCTGAGTATGGACCTGAGCCGTACTCGTAATACTCTTAATGAAATTTTTTAATCCGAATCTAATAGTCGTTAGGAAGAAACGAGATACGTTTTTTGATCTTTTGTGTTCATCGAGTAGCACACTGTACACATTGTTCAAATGATCTGACGTCCGGACATAAGCCGGGCCCGATCAGTAAAATTTTCAAGTCCCGAACCCGGACCTGATTAACATGAAATTTTCAGACCCAACAGAGTCCTGGTCCGGATTCGAATAGGACCCGTCAGACTCTAGTGAGGGATGTGCGCGACCTGTAAAGCTGCCGAGAGAGTCATTGATATATGGGGATGACAATAATATGCACGCACGTCGTAGGACCAAGGAGAAAACTGTTCGTCTTTGAAATTCGTTCTCTG